ACAATTTCGACAATATATATTTTTGACTTCGACAAAATGTTCCATTATCAGAAATTTCAGACTACTTTAAATATAAATATAAATATGTGCAATTGACGAAATGCGTCATTCCAGTAATATCATATGGTACATATATTCGTTTGTGATAGATCTTTCCATCTTATTGCTTGACCCACATATGTATCACACGATATGTAATATGTTGCGCTCCACTTGAAGATGCCTTCCCTTGGCCCGTTATATGTAAGTAGAAGCACAGATTCAGGGCAGCCATAAATATTCAATATACTTAGATTGAGTATGTATATGTGCGCACATGCAAGCATCACTATAGGCGTATCCAAAAAGAAATTCAAGATCTTCAGCTTGAAAATCTACCAAATGCCGCCGCCCATCATCAACGCTCCAAACACAATGCCTAACAGATCCCTAAGAGTCAGTCAGAGTCAGATTCTGAAATGCAGCCGAAGTCAGAGTCGGAATATGGCCCTACCCTCAGCTGCTTATGCTAATTGTGCTCCTCTCTTAACGGCAAACGAAATTCCAAAAATTAAAATTTGTTTTTCCTGCATGCCAGACGATATGGTTGTCGCTGTGGATATGGATACGCATGGACAATATTTTCAACACAATATGAACTAAGGGAATAAATCAAATTGATTAAATTCGAACACCACAGAAATGATATGGAGCTCGGGTCAACACATTGTAGAAAAAATAGTAGAATATGGCGGGACAATAGCATGCCCAAAGAGCTAAACTCTCATTTAAATAATAAACCACTAAAAACCTTGGGGAAGCAGCAGAAACAACACAGACAATTTAAATAGAAACCCGTTGGCAGCATTCGAACAAAGTAGACGAAAAAGTAAACCATTAAAAATTACTACTAATGTGCACCTTACACAAAGGCCCCCACAACTATGGCTAAGGCTGTGGGTTTGACTGGAGATCGGATTGGATCGCAATGTTTGAATGGGGACAAAAGCGCCTCACAACAAAGTCACGAGTTTCTACTGAGCTAATGTCTAATAAGTGAGCCCAACTCAACCGGGCCCGGACATCTGTGCGACCCACTGCGGCGACAGCGCATTAAAATTAACGAGACCCAATTCATCTTCGGACCTTTTTTGTTGAGCCGCCAGCGGCTTCGTCTGCGTCGGCGTCACCAGCGTCGTCGTCTTTATCTCCATCGTCGTCGTCATCGTCGTCAGTGGCAGCTCCACAAGGTCCGAGCACATAAATTGCAAAAAGAGCCAGGGCAAAACTAAAACCACTTTACTTAATGAGCATCAAATATCTGCTTGCCACAATTCTCGATACAAATCTATTATTTAGGACCTGCTTTGTAGCTGGTGCACTAACATTTCAATTAATAAACCACCCGCACCACCCACCACGCACTCCCCCGCTTCGGCCCGACAGCAACACCGATGTCAGTGCAAGAACACGCAGCACTCCCACGACCATCCCACAAAGAGTCGGAACAATGGCCAAGTATAATCACTTTGTTTGCACCTTTGGGAATAGCCAGTGACAGACGCCGTCGCATGAGTGGAGCTCTGAGCTGCTTGCTTTGGAGCGCGCTGGTTGAAGGCGGACACAGGACGCTACGCACTGCCACGAAAGTGGCCCACAGAAAAACCAATGGGGAGTGGGGCATGTAACCGCAACAAGAGCCCAGCGCGAGGTTGCATTTATGAAAATGAGCTGCAGCTCTGCGCCATGCAATTTGTTAACCAGACAATTGACCAAATGTTGCCCCGAACTGGTTGCCCCCCGATTGTTGAAAAGAACTACATACATCAGATGGTCGCCCTACCCCCAGGCAGGCGTAATAGCCAACTAAATGGTGGAAAACAAATGCCGGTTCCACGTTTATTTTCAGTGAACGTCGAACTGATTATAAAAATATTAATTGTATGGTGGTCGCCATTTATTATAGTCAGCAGAATTTCATAGTGATTTCAATAATTCTTTTCGGAACAAAACGTATCCAACGAGAAACGCAGGATCATCAAGATATAGTCTTGGGCGTGGGACCGGCATACTTTTGGCATTTGACTATCAAAAAGGTTTTAAGATTTTTGTATTTATATATTTTATATATTTTATGAAATACTATATTTTATTTAAAAGGAGCTGATAATCATGAAGGAAAACGCTTTAGATTATGGATATCCTGTATGCATTTTACCCTTGAATGCGCGCCCTTGCTGTAGTATTACCTCAAAAATAAGCGTTCTGCTCTACTTAACGATATGTATTATTAGAAATATAAAATTAAACAAAACAAATCAATTCCACCGCATCAACCAAACTACTCACAATCGCTTCCAATCTTATCCCCACTTTTGGATCACAATTGCGTTGCATGATGTACGAAATTACCGCAAAACGCTCAGCTTCTCAAAAAAGGAGTCAAACAAAGAAATATTTTTAGAAAAAGGAGTCAAGCAAAAAAAGATTCTGCAATTAGTAGTAGGGATATCGAGAGGAGCCATAGACTTACCAAAGTAGGCGACGACATCCGTCGATATTTTAGTGCCTTCGCACCTATCCCAACCCACTAACAAGACGGGTTGCTTCTCATAGAAAAGGAAGAATTTTGTGCCCCATTTTTGAAACTTGGATCTTGGCTCAAGAAAGAAAAGACTCAAACGGTGCCATTCACAGGATCTACTTGACAGGATTCTCAAAGACTTAAATTTTTAATAAAAAGCAAGTTCTCATTATGGCTTTAACTTTGTAAGCCTTAGCATAAACAGAAGTAAGTCTTGTTAAATTTTGTATTAATCTTGTTAATAATGATATATATTAAAACTCAAAGAGAATGAAAGCGCGAGTGATAGTCAAACTTTTAAGCTTTCTAGTCATAACCTCGACTTGGGTATTGATGCTAAGGAACAGAATATGTTTATTTTATGGTATCCATTTCCATTCTTATCCATTTCCAAGATATTCAGGGATGAAAAACCTTACAATATTTACAAAATTGAAAAATATAAGTCCTTTGAGTACGTGGCAATATTTACGCAATAAAAAGCATAATGCACATACGCTAACTTTCGCTTGAATAGATTTCAATTACTAGGCATTAGAAAGTGATCCTTACGCAGTGCCAAACAGGATACAGGACAGAGATTAGCTGATGCAGCCAATCTAAATCGCCAAATGCAGCTTAAACTCAACCAACTATGCAGGCTAACTACCTTAGGCCCATTTGGAGCTTAGAGAGTGGCGGCTACACATGAGCTTTCGACCGCCAAAGCGGGCAGAGACAATGCAATTGCCAATTGGGCAATGGCGGACAACGCGACGATGGCGTCGCTAACAACAACAACAACAACAACAACGAATGCAACTGAAACTGAAACAGCAACAATATCAACATAAGCAACTGCAGCAGCAGCATGGAGAGCGGTAATAAAAGTGAAATTAACAATCAGCGAGCGGTTTACGGTTGACATTTCACATGACAGGTTAGTAATGCGATTTAGCAGGATAAAGGACAGCCGCAGGCTGGCGGGCCATCCAACAAGCTAAGGCAGCTGCGATGCCTGGTCCCATGGTCTCGTGGTCTCTCCGCTGTGCCAATGCACATCCAGTACGAGTAGTGCAGCAAAATCGCAAACATTCGCCTTTGCTCGGTCGGAGCTGTAGTCGTTGTCGTTGCTGCCGTCGCCGTCGCCGTCGCCGGTGTCGTTGTCGGTGTCGATGTCCGTGGCAACCGCACCAAATGGTTTTGTGAAGAGAAAGTTAATTAAAATAATGAGTTTTCGTGCAAATGTTACGAGCTGTGCGCCATTCGTTGTGTTGATGAATGTCTGGCCCGTCAAATGAGGCAGACGTCCGCCTTGGCTGAGGCCCCAATCCGAGTTTACAGCCTGTTGTCTTATGCATGCACATTTAAATATGGTCATAATATATAATATAATAAACGTAATAATGGAGATTTAATTAAATGCAAAATTCGCTCGCCTGCATTTAAATCGACATTTAAAATGTTTGCCATTTGCCGCTCTTCAAATTTGCATATTTGCAATTTGTCTGTTTGCGCTTAGTGTTTTGGGCATTCACAGCCGAGGGGCTCTGAGGCTAGTGGGCATTTGTAATAAGCAAATTGATTTCAAATTGTCAGCATTGCGTGGCCAGCAAATTAGATTTTATGTGGTCCACTTATCAATATTAGATAAGTGGGTATTAGATTTAGATTTAAAATTATGGCGCTAAGAACGTGTATTGGAGCTACATATGAATGAATTTCATTCTAAACAGGAAATGTTTTTTTAATTCTTAATTATCCATAAAAAAACCAAATGCACATCATATTGAAAATATATTTGATTACATAAACATAATGGAAATTCCAGGACGCAGGTTTTTCGAAATGCACATTTTCAAAAAAGCGCAAAGCATCCAAATATATTTGAGAAAATCCATCCAAGCCAAACAATTATGGCCAGTTTCTGCTCTAGTTCTAGTCGACTTCACAGTATGATGTTAAATGCGTATCAATAAAACCAATAACAATGCCCAGCATACTAAGCCTCCTTGATCTCACCTCCCGCTTTCTAATTGCACAGGGCCTCAGTCCGTTTGGCCATACTACTTCTGCAGAGCTTTAGTATGCTTATGATTATCTGTCATATAATTGGTTAGGGAAACATTAAAATTAGTTGGTGAAAAATGTGACTCAGACTAGAATGAACTAAAGGGCTTTAGTCAAGAGATACCCAGCTCGGAGATGCTAACAAATACGGAGGTGTCAAATACGGAGTTGTCTCACTGCAAATGCGTCGTTTCAATTTTATTAAAATTTATTGGGGGCCTATGGCAGCCTCAATATATGAATAATTTATGAGATCTAAGGTGCTTATTTGGGCCTTTTCATTTATTTGCACAATAGAAATGTACGATTTTTACCCATTTTAAATTATTAAATCGTATGATATGGCTATCAGATAAGAATAATATTAGTCCACACTATAGAAACTTACCAATCAATTACCAAGTCATGTCCCTTGCTCATCGTGCATTATTAAATCAGTGTAGTTTTGCTAGGAACCATTTGTTGGGCTTAGTTAGCCATCCGATTGCCAAGTAGACAGATTTTAAATTCAGTTAAATGTTTATGATTTGTACCACTGTGCTGACATTTGCAGCTGTCAAAATTTGCAACAGAGAGCACCGTTTGTTGCCAAAACATAAACATGTCAACTTTGAGAACGTTTAACAGAGAGCGGACACACACCAGCAGGAGCAAGAGAGGTCGAGAGCGAGTCTTACACACTTAAATGTACTCCGCGAGAGACATGGAGAGAGAGAAAGAGAGAGAGAGAGAGCAAGCGACCGAGCGAGAGCCTTTCGAACTAAAACATTACGGTACTACGTCCACGGGTAAAGGGTGTCGAATACGGATGTGGGTGAGGGTAAGGGTGAGGGTCGGGGTGAGGGGCGATGGGAATGGCTGGCGGACTATGCGACTTTTCCTTGCTCGCGCGCGCCTTTTACACTTCCAAGTCCAACACTTTCAATGGGCGAATCTTAGCTCCATGCCCACATGGCAGCCACAGGGCCAGTAGCCTAGAAGCAGCCGCCTCTACACTCCCGGAAATAGTTTCTAATCTTACTGCACCAAGCTGGGACGTGGGCTCAGCCCCTGGACACGACCACGAGGATAACGCTAGCAACGTGGCGGCGACAATGGCAATAATAACAACAACAACGAGTCCAACGCGTCTCCCAAACATAGCGGGCGTCCCAGCCCTGGTGACGACAACACGACGACGGCGACGGCGACGGCGACGTAGTCGATGCTGGCGACAGGAACCAAATTTTCTAATTCCGCGACAGGTTCGATTTTGTTAAGAGAAACTCGTGGCGTTTTTCCAATTTATGCACTGAAGCACAAGTATTGTTACTTGTGGCCAATAAACGCGTTTTCCTATTTGCACATTCGGTTTGGTTGATTAGAAAAATTTAGAAAAATAGCTGCGTGTGAGTTTTTTTATGCGGTGCCACAACAAAAAGTTGGCTGACTGTTCACTCGCGTCGCGTCGCGTTTGTCAAAGAGCAGAGCAGCGAGCGACAAAAGCCAAAATCTCGCATCTCACAGCGAACCAACACCAAACCGGGGCCACACACAGCAAAACAGGAGGCAGCCAGCCACACAAGGACCAAACGTTGCCGCCATCGAACGTACCAAAAGCAGCAGCAGAAACAGCAGCAACAACAACATAAGAGCACAGCAAGGCAATTGCAAAAACAGAAAGCAAAAAAAAAAAAAAAACAGAAAAAGTGAAGTGAGCATCAAAGCGCACGGGGCAGAATAGTTTGCAACCCGACCAGCAGCCCCACAAGCATCGTTTGAGTGTCATGTACAATGCGATGCGGTGGCGCCCGGCGCAGCAGCACTCCCAACCCACCGTAACCTCTCTGCGGTGGGCAACTCTTCAATTGCTGCTGTGTCTAAAAACCGAAAACAATAAAAAGCTCCAACGGAAAGTTTTCTGCTATAGTGACATGTGAATACACTACAAAATACAAATTCAAGTGATAAAGGATGGGACACAAGTTAATAAAATTATTCCAATTAAAAAATATGAATGGATATAAATATATATATATATATATATATTTAATGTCATATATTTATATATTAAATTACTGTGTTAACCAAATCTATGATTTTGCTTTAATTACTCATTTAATTTTAGATAGTCAATATCGAAATAGTCTAATAATAACAGCTAAACATTCGAAAAAACTTTAACAGAACTAATGAGCTATTAGAAAAGGGAAGAAGAGTAAAGATCACGGAGTTTCATAATCTTATATTTTTGCTTGCACACGAGTAGAAATTATTATTCAAAAACACGGTAATAATACAATCAGAATAAATCTTAATACCGAAAAGAAAAATTAATAAATTGCATGTTACAGCTGACATTATTTGCAGGTAAGGCTAAAGTGACGCTAGGGGCACAGCCTATATGGTCAGCATGTTAAGTTTGCCAGGCTATATGCCCCATACAAATAGACTCTAAAGCCATGCGAAAAAATGCCAAAGCACGCGTTGACACTTTGCGCTCAACACTCGCACACACTCACTTAAAAACACACACACGTAGATACAATGTGATGCCAGGATACAGTTTTGCTCTCTTGAATTTGCACACTCTGGAGAGTATGCTCCGTGCCATCGGCAACGTGTGTCCTGCAGCCCGGAGCAGCAGAAGAAACAGCAGCAGCAGCTGGTGCTGGAGCTGGAGCTACAACCAGCATGCTGTCATTGTAAACAAAGGATATGGCGGCACTCTCAGGGATGCTTATGCTGAAGCTCTCTATAGATGCTGAGTGGCTCTCACTGCGCAGTGCTCCAAGCTGAAGCTGAAAAAGATGATGCCGGAGCTTTCACGGACGTGCGCGTCAGGGAAAGCTGTCGCCATCGACGTCAGCGCCTATCGATTTTTGTGCGGCCAATGCGCATGCAAACGCGCTGCATTTTGACAGCTGTCAACGCGCCAGCGATGACACTTTTGGGGCCCAAAGACCGGCAGCACTGTCAACTGACAGGCGACAGGTAGGGCAGGTAAACAAATTGAAATGCAAAATGCAGGCGGCCGAGTAAACGACACGCGTTCATTTATCAAGTGTCCATCGGGCTCATCAGCAGATAAGCTGGCGCTGGGGCCGGCGCCGGAACATGGATCGCGCCATGGCAATTAAACAACGTCACAAAATATTTAGCTGGCAAATAAATGTCACAGCAGACAGGGACAATGTCGCCCAGGATGAGCTAAATTACATGGAAATTAATGAGCAGCCAACTCAATACGTACATCAGCTCAGAGCTGTGTATAAAAATTTGATAATTTAATTAGAGTATAGGCCAGCTGGTTGACCAATTGCTTGTGAGGCCCCAGCTAAGCCCGCTCTTGTATCTCCTACTCTTGCTTAACACGCACGCCGTCAAGAGGACTTGGTAGGCGTTACGAAAGGCATTTTCATAATTAAGCAATTACCCATTTTTGTATTTTCGTATTTTCCTATTTTCGTATTCTCGCATTTGGTCCTAGTTGTTGTGTGTCGTGTGGGCGTTGCGGTCACTTAGCTGACCAGCTCTCCATTTATTTTCATTTCTCCCGCGTCGCACAAATGTCATAACTGTTTTCTGGGTCGGCCCCGACGAGATCGGCTCACTACGAAACGCACCGTATTTCCTAACGAAGATGAATTAGTTTTTTATTCAAATTTAATTTATGCCATGCTAAAATATAAACAGCACCACGCTTAGAGCTCAACCCACACGAAGCACCCAGCCCAGCCCAGAGCAGCAGAGACTGGCCCAGCCCATAGTCTCGGCCATGTAAGCGCCTAATAGATATTTCCATGTTTGAGCCCATTAAAATCGCCAAAAAACAATTGAAACACGTGATTTTAGTGGCGCCCTCTCTTAATATGCGTGTCTGCCACTCATAAGACAAGCTGCCCTTAGGGCAGAGTGCCAGGCTGATGTCAACTAAATATCATCACCTGACCGGGCCCACAAGCTGATGGCATTGCTCTGATAGCTGGCATTGGTGACATGGCGTTCTGGTTATTTGTTAGGTGCAAAAAAAAATTATGTCTGCCGTCTGGTGAGCAGCGCGAATTCATCATAACAAACTACACATTCATATCTGTATCTGATTACGATCTACAAGCACGTTGGGTGTGGGTTCTCCAAGCGAATACTTGATAGCTATATTTATATTAAATATATGGCGTGACATACGCAATGTTGGCTATCAAGTGACCATTGGGCTACATTTGGAGCACATTAATGAAGTTAAATGCACACTTTTAACTTGCTTTCAGAAAATGAGTGGCAACTTAAAGCTGAAAATTGTTTAACGAGCAGAATAAACTGTGTTTAGCTGTGTTTAGAAAACCATGCGGAGGAATTGAGGTCCTTATGGGAAAATTCTTTGTTAATTATTAGGAATAAAAGTGAAAATATTTATAATATTTTAAAATATAATATTTAACGAGTAATACGCATAAGTTCACAATCATTTTTTCCCATCTTAGCTGCTAGATCAATTTGTCATTCCTAAATTCACTCAACCTTTCTTAACTATCTCAGCTTTATCTTTGAAATTTGAAATGTTTCAGGTCAAGTAATGTAAAAATAAACCCACAAATAATAAACGAATGAAGAACAAGAATATTAAATTATATAAAACTTTTATTATATGCATAATTTTTTTTAATACTTAATTAAAGATATTTCTAATTAGAATATTGTTTGATTGTTTTGGTTAAACGTTTTAAATTTAGAGGTCCGTAGAAAGAAAAAATAAAAAAATATTTTTTACGCTTTATACAAATAAGCCCACAATTAAATTTAAGTTGACCGACATTCGGTACACCGCTAAATTATGAACATGAATTCCCATGCAAACATGTCACGGCCAATTCCCACGCCAGATCCTAACTAATCTAGCATTAAGTACTTGCCACCCAATGACAATCCATCCAATGCTCTTGCACCTGAGTCCACTGGACTCTGATCGGGGGTCGTCATCCAATAATTACTGGATAAACAATCACCGCATTCATGTGGCGCTGTTGGCTGCTGTCGTCATTGACATAATGCGACACTGCGAATGCGGCAACGTCATGGGCACGTATAGAGCAGTTGGAGATAGCTGCCAGGCAGACAGATATCAAAGGGTACCATGCTCCCCCTTGCACCCACACGCCAGATTGTCTAAAAACGCTCGCATTGTATAAATAGCGGCGGTGGACGTCGTGCGCTGCGCTGTGCTGCCAAGATAACAAAATTACTGCGTACTAAACATATTGTTCAGATATTGTGATAAAAATTTATAGTGGTAAGCAATGGTGAGGAGCCGCTGGAAGCGCATACAGTTTCAAAATAGTACAGCAACTGAGATTTACGAGCCCGAAGCCGGAGCTGGTGCTGGCCGCAAATCTGTCACCGAGCTGAGCCGCACGGCAAACACGAAAATATTTGAGTTGCTTCAGTTTCAGTTTTTCAGAGCACATATTTGCCTAGTGCCAGCACAGTAGCGATAAAATGTTAACTCGACGATTAGCGACGTTGCCAGGCAATTGTTTATGGAAGTCCGAGCACTCGAATTCTAACCAAAAGGAAAAAAAAACGCCAGCAACTGGCTACTGGCAACTGGCAACTGCCAACTGAAAAACGTCTTCTGTGGCGATGCAGTGGGCAAACAATTGCAGTCTCTTTTGGATTTCTGTCTGATAAGATTGCCCAAGCTGAAGACGCGCTCTGATAGCCTTTGGCAGCGACCGAAATTCATAAATTACAAATCATTACGGCAACGGCGACATGAACGACGCCATGGAGGACAAACAGTCGGTTCGGCTTCCACGGCCGGCGGCATCATCAACTGGTGCCTCGGCGTTGCATCTTTGGTGCTTCGCTGGTGTCTCGCTGGTGCCTCATAATGCAAGCCAATTTTTGACATGTACATGAATTAGATTTTAAAAACTCGTCCGCTTGCAATTGCAGGACTGGCCGAGAGGAGCATCAAGCTGGCGGCAACCTGCCGGTAAATGAGTTTGCTTGTAAAACTCGCGATGAAACGCAGCAGATAAGCAGCTCTGAGATAGAGAGAGAGATAGGTAGTGAGGGGATGTGGAGTGTGGGGGAAAGAGTGTGTCCAAAGGGGAAGCCATAAAAAGGGTAGTATAACGATTAATTTTTTTCACGTTGACATTTTAGCTTAATTGCACTTCAATAATCCCGAAAAAAGCTAAAGCAAAAAGGCAAAAATGCGTAAAAGGGCATGAAAAGCGGGAGCCGCAGCAACGACTACGACGACGAAGACTACGAGGCACATACAATTTTAATCCCACGGATATTTGCTGCATAAGCACTACAGCTCAGAGTAAGAGAGAGAGATAGAGAGCGAGAGAGAGGGAGTAAGGGAGAGAGAAAAAGGCAAAAACAGAAACAGAAACGCCGAGCTACGTTGTCAGCAGAATCAGCAGCCAACGCACCGCATGGAGCAGCAAGTGGGCCAACCCACGATTGTCCGACAAGCAACCGACTGGACCGGCGACAGACTGACCGACCGACCAGCCAACAAACCGACCGACCGACCGACCCCAGAAACGTCCAAAAGCTGGCAAAAGCGGCCTGCTACCAAAGTTGACAAGAAGTAAAATGTCCGACGGACTAATTGGCTTAAACGCTGGCAAAATTTATTTAAGCACATTAGTGGGATTTGGTTTTTGCCATCCGCCGTACGCTTTGTGCCCTCATATACTTCAACAGCTGTCCCCTCTCCCTCCTCAGGGCTTTTCTGCCTTGCCCTACGCCTTTTTGGCATCTGATCTACTTGGCTTTAAGTAATGTGGAATACATTGAACCTCTTTGCTGCGCCATCGACTTAGGGAACTGCGTGGGTCGTACTTCATATAAGACTGTAATGTAGGTTAAAAGCAATGTCACTTAAACCATG